GAGTAAATTTAAATTTAAATTTTATTTATTATAAACCCTATTTGAAAGTCTTATAGATTAATAATTTTTAAAGTTATTTTCATTATTTTTGTAATCAGGATTTTAGATAATACATATAGTATGATTTATCATTAGTTATTACTAAGGTTCAGGTATCGGATTTGGTTATATTTGAAATTTCCAAATAAGATATATTTGATATTGAATTGTGTTTTGAGGCCTCGCGGCGATTAATTTAGTAGTTTTGGAATATTTATATGAATTATGAGAGTTATTAATCTTATGTCATATAAGATATGTATCTATGTATCTTATGTGAGTAAAATAAAGTTACGGGATCCACAATTTTTAAAAAAAGAAAAGAAAAAAAAAATAGGTATAAAATTTTACGAATGTACAACATGAAACAATTATTTTCCATGAATTATATAGGTTTTGGAGGCTTGTGTATAGTTTAGGCTATCCACTGGTTGCCTTGGCTCCTTGTTATTTACGGTCATGGACCCCAAGTTTTGGACGTGACATTTGTAAAACTATATGGACTCCTCTACAAATTTTTTGGGTCCTAACTCCTAATAGTTTCATAAAATTCTAATGAATTATGGATCCATGAATATAGTTTATCGTTAGAAGTATCTAATGATATTCAAATGATAAAGACCCCATAAGAAAAAATTTTAAATTGGAATCCAATTACATACTTTAAATATAAAAACCCAATTAAAACTACTAAATAGTGTGGGAATTTACATATTAATTTAATCTATTTTTTTAACTCAAACTGTTTACACCTATGCATTGATATGCTTACGGCTTTACTTCTTTCAAGCTTTTTCATATATTTAAAAATTAATAATTATATGAATGCAATTTTATCTTGTTTTGGTAAATTTTCAAAATAAATCTATATAAATAATTCAATACTTACATATAAGTTATTTATATAGGGATATGAGCATTTGACACTGACGTCAAACTAAAAATTTTGACACCAAATTTTAATCATTGATTTCTATTAATCTAACGATTACAATTTATTGAAAATTAATAAATTAATTAATAAGTGTGATTCAATAAATTATAACCGTTTGATTCACGAAAATTAATGGTTGAGATTTGATTTCAAACTTTTTAGTTTGTCACACCATGTGTTCGAATTTTTCCAGTACTACTTTTGGGAGGGGTTTAAAGCCTTAATCCTGGAACTGCTCCAAATCGAATTAGCTGCGAAGCAATGAACTGATTAAAATATTTTCAAAAAAAAAAAAATCTTGTGTTATTTATATAGAGTACAAATAAAAAATTATTTTAATTTATGAAACATATTAAATTAATTCTTTACGACATAAAAATCTATTTAATTGTTATTCTTTGTCCTTTTCAATGTATACCTTATTAATAATTTTTAACTCAATATTAATTATATAATAAATATTTATAATATATGACGTCACAATTACTTCTTTGCATTTGTTAATAATAGTAAATATTAATATTAGTATCATTAATTAATTTTAAGAAAATTATGTATATAATTTTTCTAGTAAAATATGAAATATAAATATTAACACATGTAGTCATGCGAGGGCTTGAACCTCCCTTGAACTTCGCCCATTCTGAATGAAGATGGCAAAAAAATTAATTTAATATTTTTTAATAAAATAATTATGCATTTATTACAGTTTTGGGAATAATTACAGATTATTGAAAAGAAGTGTCTGTATATTGATATTGAATAATTTACATGAGTGAGTATTTATACAAGAAAGTATCGCTAAGAATGACTAAGCGATGACTAATCAATCCTAATCACAATCAATCTTAATCAATCATAATCAATCCTAATTAATAGGAAATAAAAACGGAAACATGTTTGAATTCTGATTTTTTACACTCCTCCTCAAGTTGGGAGGTAAATATTGATCATTCTCAACTTGCCAATCAAGTCTTCGAATGCTGGACGGTGTAGGCCCTTGGTAAGGATACTTGTGCTAAGAAACGCCAAAAGAGAAAGTGGGGGGCGGCGAGACTCTGATACCATATTGAAAAGAAGTTTCTGTATATTGATATTGAATAATTTACATGAGTGAGTATTTATACAAGAAAGAATCGCTAAGAATGACTAAGCGATGACAAATCAATCCTAATCACAATCAATTCTAATCCATCACAATCAATCCTAATCAATCATAATCAATCCTAATTAATAGGAAATAAAAACGAAAACATGTTTGAATTCTGATTTTCTACACAGATCTATTGCACAATGTGACGATCTATTGCACAATATGACGTTTCTTTTGGGCTTCACATGTGACGCCCCATTGAGGCGACTCGAAAAGTTATAAGGGGAGACACCCCAATGGGGCGTCACTCATCAGGTGTTGACACGGGTCATTTTTCTTTTCCAAAAAAAATAAATTAATTTAATCATAAAACTTTTGAAGGCCATAACTTTTGACTCGGGTATCCAAATCAAGTAATTCTTTTTTTGATTCCACATAACTTTTCGAGATCTACGCAATGAAATCTCATTTGATATATTTTATTTCTCACAAACATATAACTTTTTGTGATATATTTTAAATAACAAACCAAATTTTTTTTATAATAAAAATAAAAAATTTTATTTTTTTAATTTAAATCACACATCAAATCTTGATTTATTTTTTATATCAAATCACAAACGCAGAAATTAGAGGCTTCTGAGTTTAAAAATGTGACACATGTCAACACCTGACACGTCACCAATCACGTCTAAATTGGGTTTCAATCAAGAGGCAATCACGCCTAATTTAGGTAATTTTATTTTTGAAAAACATTCATAAGCCATCATTAATTTCAGACCACGAATAATAGCCCAGAAGCTTATAGCATTAATCATTAATTTCAAAAATAATATCATTCTTTCTTAGAGATTTAGAATATTTATTTAATTATTTCCTTTATTTCTACAGATTTTTCAAATTGATTTTTTAGTTTAAATCACAAATCAAATCTTTATTTTGTTTTCCTTATTAATAATAATAATTATTTTTATTTTTAATTTAAATCACAAACCAAATTTTTGTTATAATAAAAAAAATTTAAATCACAAATCAAAATTTTATTTATTTTTTTATATTAATCACAAACCCAGAACTTAGAGGCTTCTAGATTTAACCACTCTTATAATATCATTCTTGCAAATTAAAATTATGTTTGTGAGAAATAAAATATATCAAATGAGATGTCATTGCGTAGATCTCGTAAAGTTATGTGGAATCAAAAAAAGAATTACCTGATTTGGATACCCGAGTCAAAAGTTATGGCCTTAAAAAATTTTATGATTAAATTAATTTTTTTTTTGGAAAAAAAAATGACACGTGTCAATACCTGATGAGTGACGCCCCATTGTACAATAGATCCGTAATTATTTTCAAAATTGTAATAAATGCGTAATTATTTTATTAAAAAGGATTAAATTGATTTTTTTTGCCGAATGAAGATATGAAAATTATTTATCTTTTTGGAAGGGATTTTGATATCTTGGGCTTTACAAAATTTTATCGCTAGATATCAAATAATTCTACACTAACATGATATTAAATTAAATTCCTTTGATTTGAATTCCCCGTACACAAGGAAAGGAAAATTTCTATCGAAACGGAAATGAAAGGAAATTATTAAATTCCTTTGATTCAGCACCCTTGCTATGATCCACGTCATAACCCACCTACGGTTTTTAATAGTGGTAAACTAGTAATTACGCGGTGGCCGATTAGGGCAATCTGGTAATTAGGAGTGGGAATTTCAGTTCAGTTCCTATATATAACAGACAGCTACTGCTGCTGGGAAAACAAAAAAACTCCGTTTCCTCGTTACGCTAGTTGTGTTGTGTTGTGTTGTTCCCAACCGCACCAACCAACTACTCTTTGATGCATTAGACTAAAATGGAGGACTCCGAGGTATCAATTGTGTTTTCTCTCAATCTTTTGGTCCTTTTATGTTTGCTTTAGTAAAAGAAAAATTGAATCTTTTTACTATGTTTACCGACTGGTAATGTTTGAAACAGAAATTGAGGGAATTGAAGAAGGCTTACGCTGATATAATCCTTAACACATCAAAAGAGGCTGCGGCGCGTGTCTTGGTGTCTGAGAGAAAAGCCACGCGCTTCCAGCAGGAGCTTGTTTCCACCAAGGAAGAGGCGCTACGGATGCTTGTCCGCCTCAAACAAATGCTCGATTCTAAGGTACAATGGCTGTGGATTGCTCCTCCCTCATTCACTTGTTTTTGTGTTGGATTTTCATCCTACTTGTGTTTTATGTCTACCTGAAATTGTAATTAATAATAATAATAACAATAATCACTGACTTGATTCACATATTACATTCGTAGCAGTCATTAAAGGAATGCATATTGCAATCTGCATATATGTATGTGAAATTATGACTCGGTGTGAGAGTGTGTGAAAAATGGACCACACCAAAAACCCGGCCAAATTATAACTGTTCACATTGACTCTGTAGTAATAAGATCAGCAAACCCCTATTGGCGATTCCAGGCGCAACTGTTCACGGACATTATGGAGAAATCCTTTCGAAAGAAATATATTGTGCCATTGATTTAATTTTTGGCCCCAATTCAGCTAACTCTACGGGGGTATTTGGCAACTGCAATAAAGTTTCAACATTGATAGCCAACTATCTTTATAGCATAGCACATCCTGGCCACATCTGTATATGTTCTATTTCTATAGCTGAATCCAAGCTATTTTTTTTTTTTTTTTTTTTGTGGGGGGTGGAGTAGGGTAGAGCGGGATTCCTCATGGTTAAATCATTTATAAGTTTTTGTCTAATTTAAGCTCATTTTTCAGGTTAATGTAGCGGAGATGATGTCATTGAGTCAGCAGAAGAAGATTGACGAACTTGAAGCTCAGCTCCAAGAAGCTGAGGAAATAGTTAGAGACCTAAGGGCTGAGTTGAGTGGAATGCAGGCTATGCTGGAGAAGGTGACAAACAACAAGATGCATTCCCCAGATGTACAAAACAAAAAGGGTGGAATTGCAGCTCAGGAAAATTGTTTACAGGAAAACACACTTGATCCTTCTGATGGATCTGTATATTCTGTATCTGATTTACATTTTGACTCAGTTGCAGTCTATGACAACAGGAATTCAACTGTAAATGAAACAAATGATGGCAGGAAGTTCGGTGTGCCACATGATCATATAAACAACTGCTACATTCAAAACCCGGATTTTGCTTCCATAATCATTAGGAGGAAAGAACCTGAGCTCTACCGAAATGGGTGCACTCAGAGAATACGTGCTTTTGAAAGAAACCTGTTGGATGGAAATATGTCTCTTTCAGGAAATGTAGAAGATGTACAGAATGAAAATTTAGTAAGAGTAGATGAAGGTAAAGCAGTGCCTGTTACAGCTAATCCCAAGGCTGATATTATCTGTGAAACGGATAAACCAGATGAAGTTAAAGTGGTGAGCGAAGTTGCTGACCATGTCAAAGTGCCACTTCACAGAAAAAAGGCAAGATTTAGGCTAGGGCTTCGACCTAGATTACATTCTGACCATGTCAAGGAAACTAATAAAGCATCACAATTTTCTTGCACAAAAGGTTCTCCATGTGTATTGGATACTAATGCTCCCTCAAGGAAGAAGGGGAAGAATTCTTCAAGGGTATGTACAAATGAAGTCCAGAAGGATCCTGTGTCTCCTTCTTTTCCTAAAGTATCCACAGATGCAACTACAATAGTTGAGCAGTCAGGATCTCATGATGTACAGAACGAAACTTCAGTGAGAGTAGATGAAGTTAAAGCAGTGCCAGTAACAACTAATGAAGTCCAGAAGGATCCTGTGTCTCCTTCTTTTCCTAAAGTATCCACAGATGCAAGATTTAGGCTAGGGCTTCGACCTAGATTACATTCTGACCATGTCAAGGAAACTAATAAAGCATCACAATTTTCTTGCACAAAAGGTTCTCCATGTGTATTGGATACTAATGCTCCCTCAAGGAAGAAGGGGAAGAATTCTTCAAGGGTATGTACAAATGAAGTCCAGAAGGATCCTGTGTCTCCTTCTTTTCCTAAAGTATCCACAGATGCAACTACAATAGTTGAGCAGTCAGGATCTCATGATGTACAGAACGAAACTTCAGTGAGAGTAGATGAAGTTAAAGCAGTGCCAGTAACAACTAATGAAGTCCAGAAGGATCCTGTGTCTCCTTCTTTTCCTAAAGTATCCACAGATGCAAGATTTAGGCTAGGGCTTCGACCTAGATTACATTCTGACCATGTCAAGGAAACTAATAAAGCATCACAATTTTCTTGCACAAAAGGTTCTCCATGTGTATTGGATACTAATGCTCCCTCAAGGAAGAAGGGGAAGAATTCTTCAAGGGTATGTACAAATGAAGTCCAGAAGGATCCTGTGTCTCCTTCTTTTCCTAAAGTATCCACAGATGCAACTACAATAGTTGAGCAGTCAGGATCTCATGATGTACAGAACGAAACTTCAGTGAGAGTAGATGAAGTTAAAGCAGTGCCAGTAACAACTAATGAAGTCCAGAAGGATCCTGTGTCTCCTTCTTTTCCTAAAGTATCCACAGATGCAACTACAATAGTTGAGCAGTCAGGATCTCATGATGTACAGAACGAAACTTCAGTGAGAGTAGATGAAGTTAAAGCAGTGCCAGTAACAACTAATCCCAAGGCTGATATTGTTTGTGAAATGGATAAACCAGATGAAGTTAAAGTGGTAAGAGAAGTTGGTGACAATGTCAAAGCATCACTTCGCAGAAAAAGGACGAGATTTGGGCTAAGGCTTCATCCTAGATTACATTCTGATCAGGTCAAGGAATCTAAGAAAGCATCAGTGTTTTCCTGCAGAAAAGGTTCTTCACTTGTGTTGGATACCAATGCTCCCTCAAGGAAGAAGAGGAAGATTTCTTCAATAATGGTATGTGCAAACAAAGCCCAGAAGGATCCGGTGTCTCCTTTTTCTAAAGTATCCACAGATGCAACTGCAATGGTTGAGCAATCAGGATCTCATAATGTACAGAATGAAACTTTAGTAAGAAGAGAGGAAGGTAAAGCAGTGCTTGTAACAACTAATCCCAAGGCTGATATTATTTGTGAAACGGATAAACCAGAGAAACTGTTGGATAAATCAGATTTAACAAGACAAAGGAGTTTGTCCACTGAAAATCTGGATGTTCCAGCTTGCAGAGCAGATGTTGAGGCAGCTAATGAGTCATCAGATAAACTGGATCCAAAGAAAGTATCTTATTTAGATGAGAAGGTTTCTAGCCGATCTGCAAATGATAAGTTTCTCAAGTACACATTCTATAGAAAGCGTAAGAAGGAGGCTATAAGCGTTCCTGATACAAATTGCTCTTTGGAAACAAGAAGTTCGAAGAAAAACTGTGGAGAGAAGCAAAATGGTTATGTTGAGCCTCAGAAGTCTTGCACAATGGCTGAATCAACTCGTGACAGCCGACGACTAGCACAGGTCGCTCGCCAGGTTAGTGATATATATGTGAATATTTGTTTTCCCCTTTCACTTATTTGGGTAAGCATGTTTCTGTTTGCCTATCCATACCTGTCTGAAGTATGTGGTTTTGTATCAGTACTACGCTAGTATTCTATTTGAAAGACGGTTGTATCTCAGCAAAGAAGTTATGTGAGGTCAATTGGTGACACGGATAATTGATTACATTGACTAATCTTTTGCTAAGATTTGGCATGGCTGGTTGGAAAACAAATAATTGCTATAAATGGTAATTTTATGAGCCTTAAAAATTTATGAGTGACAAAAAGAATTAATTTTTACATAAAAACCAAGAGAAAGGACTTTGCCTGCTCATTTCCCATGTATGCTATTTTGTGTACTTCTAGTTGGTTGGCTTATGGAGAAAGAAACTTTTCTTTTAAATTTAGAAAGTTGTTTCGGTAGAAAGTTGTTTCAGTAGCAAGGCTTTATAATGTAGATGATGCATGCTGTATGTGTCAGTAAAGCTACCATTTATTTAAATATCTTGTATTTACTAACTGTCAAAAGTACTAGAGAAACATTTTAGGAGTCAGTGTAATTCACTTTACAAGCTTGTACTTAGTTTTTATATTTTGAATTCAGAAATAAAAAAAGTGTGAAGGATAATTCATTGCAGCTTTCAAAGTAGAAGATTGAAGAAAAATTCTGTGTGCAAATATTATCTTATACAAGACTTGAGCACTTTGGGCCTTCTCCCGTTTCTGATCAAAAATCGATAAATGTTATTTGGCACATTTTTAAAGTTGAAATCCTACATCCCTTTAAGCTGGATGCGAAGGCTGAAAGGGGGTATAGTTGTCTTGTAATGAATTTGGTTCTTTTCTTGTTCTGCTTGCTTTAACTGTTTAATTGAATACTACATTTCAAAATAATTGTCACTTTAGAAGTTTTTGCTTGTTTCGAATTGTTTGTCACTTCAGAAAACCAAGAGGGCTTTGATTACTTGTTTTTTTTCTAACTTTATCCTTGTCTTTTGGTATCTCCATTAAATGGAATGAGAGAGCATTAATGGAGTAACAGGGTAATATAGTCAAATGAACATATATTTCTCTGAAATTGAGAGTATTTAATGACTTTCTTACTGATGATTTTACACTTGAAGATGACAAATATTAAATTCCATCACAATGAATTCAATAATCACTATCATAGAGGAGTTAGTGTTTTTACTATTATACACAGTACAGTGATGTATTGTTAACACTGAATTATATAGATTTGTGATTATAAGTTTCCTCCCACATTAGCTACATTGGAACATTTTTATACACATTATTACTGTATAAGCTACTGGATCTTCTGGGAGGATGAACATCAGTTTTTTTAAAGTTCGTCGATATCAAGTGACATTTAAAGAAAAATTGGCCATTGTAATAATTCCTATTTCTGTTTTACCATTGCAAGATAAGGAAAAAGGTCAATTTTAGATGTAACTCCTGTTTTTGAGCTACACCAAACATAAAACATCTCCAAATTTGGTTCTTTTTGCATTATCTAGGATGAAGAAAATATCTGACATTCTGACTTAACTCATCTTCCCTATTGATTACCGGACAGTTGAAAACACCAGTTTTCATACTGTACCTGTAACAGATTTTCACTTGAAAATTGTCCTATGCCAAATTACACTTTTCTGCAGACCTCAATCTCTCCTAATTTTGTGTAATTATGTGTTTCTTTGGGCACAAAGTTATACTTTGACAAATGCAAGCTGAGTTTTACTGATTGGTTCTTGTGCATCTTGAATCTCCGCTTTCCTGAATTTTTCTTTAAAAATTTTGAGGATTGATTAACTGCTAGCATTCCTTTGGCTTGAATATGTGATTTTGGCATTCCCTTTATTTTAAACACTAATTTTGTGAACAAAAGTGGAGAATGGAACTCCAGAGATGCTGACATTTATTTAAAAAAAAAATAGTAGTCAGACATCCTCTAGAATCATGAATATTCTGACAAGAATTTTTCACTTAGAATAATAATGCATTATCTTCCCTAATTTTCCTTGGCACCTTTCTCTTCATTATTTTTCCTGTGCATCTTAAATCTCCTCTTTCCTCATTTTTGCTTTAAATTGTAAACATTGATTGAATCATAGCAATGGTTTGGCTTGATTGTATGATATTGGCAATTCCTTAATTATTTTCAATATTAATTTTGATGGAGCTCCAGATATACTGACCTTTATCATGAAAAGAGTGGTCATACATATTCTAGAATAATGAATGTACTGACTTGAAATTTTCACTTCCCATAACCTTGACACCTTTCTCTTCATTGTTTTTTCACCTATCTTATATTGAAAAGCTTAGCTATCTGTACTCGTGTAAAGTTCAGCAGTTTATGCTTTAACAGAAAATGTTTTTAACTGCCCTTTCTCAAACCAGGTCTTAGAGCTCAGTTTTAATTGGGAAAAAAGAGAGAGTCCAATCTGTAGATGTTGAATCAAATTAATTTGTTTGCTTCTGCTTCTAACTTATCTCATTGCAGGAATTTTTATGATGGCTCCATATTTTGTGGAAGCCAAATCTCTTTGACTTTGAAATAGTTTATCTAAATCTTAAAGGAAAAATTGGGAAATAAATACAACTAGAAAATTGAATTTATCTCAAATGAGCAAAATTGTTAATTGGAAAATGCTCTTGTTTGAGCTTTCCGATCATGATTGGCATCACACAGTTTGCCTGGTAGTCTTAGAAATATGCTTGCAGTTATCCAAAACTAGAGAGAAGAACCTAACGTATTTCTTCAATTTTTTTGGCAGCTAATATCTTTGTCTGAGAAGAAATGGTAGATGGATCTATTGCTGTGATTATTATATTGGGCTGGAGATTATTTATGTCACAATCCAATGCACTATTGTTTCTGGCGGCGGTGTTTTAAGGTTGCTTAACTTTGGTAGAGCCCTGGGATGTCATAAATATTACTTAATATTAGCTTTTCTATCATCCTTAGCATTTCTTTAGCATTATATTCTACAAAACATAAATTATATACTGTTGCTGCCCTTTTCTTTGGGGCCAGTTTTAGTTTAATTTTGCAATTCAAATTTTGCTGATTATATACCCCGCATGGGTGACGAGAATTATAACTAGATTGCTCTATTTTTGGGTAACTTTAATTGTTTACAATGTGCAACTTGAATCTTTTGGCTTGCCAATGTAAATCCTAGCTTAAGATTAAAATTTTCAATTATAAGCCTACATCTTACTGAAGTTTTGATTATATCACCCCGAGAGTTTATTTGCTGCTTGATTTTGATTGGTTTTTCTAACCGAGTGTACACTTGTATTACTTGATTTTATTGCATGAAGTTTTTAGTTTGTAGAATGTTAATTTACTTTAAGCTCGCTTGCTTATTCTAGCTCCAAGCTTGGGGGTTATGAACTGTGCCAGATGGGAGTCAGAGGACTATGACAAAAAACAAACTATTAGAAGATCTTGTAAACTCTAGCACACGATTGAGTTTGGAGCTAGGGGAACTTATTAATATTACATCTAGAAATGACCACCACCAAAACCAACTCCCTCATTGGTAAAGACCACCAAAGGTCTAAGCTTCATCTTGCCGACCTAGAGACCAGATGCCAAGCCTATATACCAACCTGAACAAATTGAGTAAAGCTTTAACACAATATGAAACATTCGAGTAAGTTTTCCCAAAAAAAAAAAAAAAAAACACTCGAGTAGACATAATAAAAATCTGACTCTAAGGATATAAGGATAACCTGCAAAGCTGAAATAGCTAATGACAATGAGTTAGCCAGCCCAAGGGAAGGGACCACTTACTCCTATAACTGTCTATCATATCAATTACATAAGGTAAGCCTTTATTCACTATACATAGGCCAACAAACTATGTTGTTGATGCAAAGCGTTGAAGGATTTTTTTCTTAAACTCAATTTTAAAAGTTCTTCTCCACCATAGGCCTTTGACATTCAGATAGCCTCAAACCGGTGGAAAAACCACTCACTTGGTACAAGACAGAACAATTTCATTGATCAAAATAGTGAAAGTGGAAACAAAATTAAAAAATATATTAATAGTTTGTGAGACTTATATTTTTTTTATCTCTTTTTCTCACATAGATCTCACACACTTTTATGTGTGTTAAAAATAAGTTTATTTTCTACCATATGAAAAACATTAAACCTTTATATAAAGGGTTTTGATTTTCTCATGTTGCATTAAAATTTAATTCTTATATTGTGACTCAATTAGTGACGGGTCTCACACTTATTAAAAAAAAAAAACTTTACATGCAAATCAAAAGATCACAACATGAAAAATCACTTCTCATGCAACATCTCTTTCCAAGACAGTGCCCAGGTCGTTACGCCTTTCGCGCGGGTCGAAACTTACCCGACAAGAAATTTCGCTACCTTAGGACCGTTATAGTTACGGCTGCCGGTCACCGGGGACAAATTTTTTCCTATATAAAACGCCAAATCCTTCCATTCCTTGAGTTACAAGGTAAGGTCCAAAGTGTTTTTCATATCAAGTCCAGCAGATAACCTATGAAGTATTGGAGAAGTATTTGTATATAAAAATGTCATCTAACCCCCTCAACTATTTTAAAACGGCAAGGTTAGAGATATTTGATTTGTTTTTTTGTCCTCATTTTCAGTGATAAAATTTCATCAATAATTACAAAAATATCATTTTATTTGATTTTCATAATTTCTTTCACAAAACTTTAAGAACAAAAAACAAAATAAAAATAAAGTATCATTTCTGTAATTATAATCCTAGTTACCCTTTAAAGCTTTAGGGTAACTTAAATTGAATACATAGTACTTACACCTCACTCGTACAAAAAAGTAAGCAATCTTTTACGTTGTCACTCATATGTACAGATTCACCCTCTACTGATATAGTAATACTTAGCCCTGAACGCACTCCAATATGCTGTTCTTGTCCAACAATTCTCGTGGCATAACAAATGAAATTATGAACTAATACGAAGAATGTATGATAGCCAGTTTCTCCGCCTTCAATAGTGACTAGACTACTACCATTGAGTATTTTTTTCCAAGTAGACGATACATATCGGCATAACAAATATCATTGTCACACTTCCCTGGTGAAGGGATTTTTCCACCAAGCTGGTTGAGAATGAAAAGAAAATCAAACTTACAGTCTACATTGCAATGTATCTGCTCACATACATTATCAAGTAATCATATTTTGATAGTAAATTTGACTCTTCCCATTCGTAGATATGTGATGCTTTTGTATAATTACATATATATATATATATATATATATACATGCAAGCATGAGAAGGGATGTGGCATTCTCCAACACCCCATTAAGGCCATATTGCCTACTAAACGGGGTATAGAATGCTATACTTGGAAAGCAAACCTGCTTTTTAAACTGGCTCTGCTCTTGCCAAACCTGAAATCTCCCTTGAATTAGTATTAATCACTGCCAGAGGATTAGTGATGAAGCCTCCACCACCATGGACCCTAAATCTGTGGCTTGTCAACTCAGTTTCAGCATTCCTATCAGGTCGGCAGTGAATGGCAGCAAGCGATGGGGTGCCACCAGATCGAGAGAATCTGGAGGACGAACACCGACCCTGTGTTTTTCTCCAGAATTTGGAGCTTAAAAATTCAGTGCCAGGTAACAGGCAACATGCATTCCTTGGAGCATCAGATTTAGTCATCCTTCCGCTTGATACAGCCAAACCATAAGATATCTCATCCAATGCCAACTCGAGGCCATGCACACGAGTCTCTAAACAACGCATTCCATTTTCAGAGCTCCCAATGAATTCCTGAAAGAGTATTGTGGATACTGTCATGTTCTCATTCAAGGGTTGGCACACATGCTACATGTACATACATATACAATAAAGAAGAAGTTTTGAACATACATCAGTATTGACCAGCAAACATTGTTTCGAAAAATTTGCAGAGATAAGTTAAGCAAAACATAAATAAAAAAAGAAAAAGAAAAATTGCTTGAGGGAAAGTGTTATCAAGCATTGGGAACAAACCTGTAGAAGATCAAGCAGACTTGACTGCTGCTTCTCAATTTGAAGTAACTGGTTGCGAATCAAAGATAAATCCTCACTCTCTTTCTCATTCCTATGGACATCTTTAGTGACATTACAAACAGGAACTGAGTCTTGACTCTCCTCAGAACAAGGTGCCACACGAGATCCAGCTTTGGACCCACCAAATTTATGCATCTTGTCATCAGGATTTTTATCAAATAAAGCCCGTTTTATTTCCGACTTCAAAAATCTGCTTTTATCCTTTTTGCTTCTTTCCACAACAGTTTCATCCCTCTGCTGAAGTTCCTTGAAGGGAGAATTTGACACAGGAATTCTAACATCCCAATTCTTATGGTTTAGTTTAGGCAAAGGCAAAACACCTGAACTCATTCTCTGATTGCCACTTAAAGCACTCATCTTTTTAGCAGTGTTAGCAGCAGATCTATCTGGTGGAGTTGATCTGTTAACTGGGCTGGATTTCTTCCTCAATCTAGTCATTACAGAACCAGGACTACAAGAATTTTGAGAGACTGGTTGATAGCGCCCATCACTTGCATTCTCTGAACCAGCTCAAAACCAGAAAGACATAAGAAAAACAACCAATGATATACTTATTTATGACCACAAAAAAATTCTAGATGATAAAACTTTTAGAATTAATGTAAAGATCAAATAACCCTAGATTGACCATAATCTCCAACTCCTTTTCCCCGCATTTTCGAACCATGATTTCCTTTCGAAAGTGTTAAGAACTTTGGAATACACCACTCCAAAAGTTAGCTCAAAGGGTGGGAGTGTCCAAGGCCTTATAAAGGCCATATTAGTTGCCCATCCAATCAATATGGGACTATATATCTCAACACGCCCCCTCACGCAAGAGCCCTTTAGGCTAGAAGCGTGGAAATTGCACAGGCCCATTTTTGGTTTACCTTCTGTGCTTTTTTTTTTTTTTAATTCCACTTTAAAGCGGGAGACGGTGAGGCTCTGATACCATGTAAAGAACCTTGGGATACACCACCCCAAAAGCTAGCTCAAAGGATGAGAGTGCCCAAGGCCTTATAAAGGCCACTTTAGTTGCCCACACAACCAATGTTTCTATAATTCAATCTGAGTTTCTATAATTCACACAATCTGAGTTTCTATAATTCAATCCACATAAAGTGATCTGACACTTGTTCATCTCAGTGACAAAAACCAATCAAACACTAGATATAGATAAATCAAATACCTTTTGAAGAAGAATGCGACTGAGGAGGTGGAGAGAATTCATCTGAAACATCAGGAATCTGCTTCCATGCCTCCAACATCTGATTCATAACTTCCCGAACCAACTTTACCTACAAACTCAACTCACTTCCAAATTACCATCAATATAAACAACGAAAGTAAGAAAAAAAATTGAAAACTCTGCAGCCAAGCTTAAAAAAAAATAAAAATTAAGGACCTTATCAAATCGTCGATTCTCGAAAACTTTCAAACAACCAGCCTTGAATTCCGACAAGAAGTCCCTCTCCACGATCGCCAGCTTCACCAACGCCTCCGCCGCACCCTTCCTTGCCGCCCAGTCGTCGCTGCTCAAGGATTCCACCAAGCAAGGAACCAATTTCCTCAAGACACCGTGACTCGACGCGCCGCCGGCCTCCACGACGCTTCCGAACAGCGCCAGCAGCGCCGCCTTGGCCTTAAACCCCTCGCACTTCAGCAGCTTCTCCAACCTCGGCAGGAGCTTCGCCAGCCTAGCCGGGTCCGGATCCGGAGCTCCGTCAATCGCGGAAGCCAAGCAGAGCGCCGCGCCAGCCTGCGAGTTCGGGTCCTGCTCCGTAAATAGCGCCTCCCCCAACGGCTTCAAGAAGGACGAAAACGGTTGCTTCGTCACGTGCGCCGACAATGCCGAAACCGAATTGGCACATGCGGTTCGAACCGACGAGTCCGGGTCGCGGAGCCGGCGAACTATGTTCGCGAGGATTTTGGAGAGAAAGGGAGAGAGAACGTTGCCATGCGCCTCAGAGAGAATCGCCAAGAGGTGCACGCATTGCTTGCGAACCGGCGATTTGTCCGAAGCATCGGTGGAGTGTATGCACGAGAGGAACACCGGCACCGAGTTTGGGTCCAGGTTTCGAGCAATGGACTCCAGCTCCGTCGCACCTAGCGAGTGCGTGTCCCTGTCGGAGAGCTTGGTGAGGCACGTGAGTACCTTGTGCTTTATGTTTTGCGTTGGAGCTGTAGAGGGAGGCATTTTCATTTTGATGATGAGGATAGTGCTGGAGTCACGGTTAGGAGAAGTATGAAAGAGCTGCTGAAATTTCCGGCGACATCGCCGGAGCGCCGGTGACCAGGTTGTTTTCCTGTGTGATCCCACATCCAATGCGAGAAGGCTCTTTGAGTTTTAAACTGTCAAGGGAACTCTGGAAATAATGTTGCGGTGAAGGAGAACGGCACGTCGTTTTCTTGACGAAAGCAAAACGACGTTAGATTTGCCGTTGCTTGTTCTACTTAACCAGTTTACTACGAAGCTTGGCTTAAGCTTTTTGTCTAAAACTTCTCCCTGCTTTTAAGTTAAACATGGCCCAACTTATTATGAGTTTTGTTTCAGCTGATCCGGGGTTCAAGGTAGCTGTTTTTTTACTCTAGCGTTTCTAAATCTGCCACGTGTATAGATGGCTTCTTAATTGCTCTCACAGTAAGCGACCCAGCACAGCAAAGAAATCAGGATTATGTATTGCTTAGCGAAGTAGAGAGAAATTATTATGAGCGTGAAATATATCAATTATTCATCGCAGGGATGGTTTTCGCGAGAAAAAAAAAACGAAGAAGGTATTGGTGAGATGGAATCATAGTGATGAAATTATAGGTCTTCCATTGTTATTAAGGTGTCACGTGGGCGTTGTCATGCAAAAGTTACTATGCTCACAAAGTCACAATCAAGTTGCTGAGAGTTTTATTCAACACATGCTCGTATCATTGCTTTTCTCATGAGTCATGACTAGGCTCTGTGTTTGTCAGGCACAATGAGTCACGTATTAATTGCTCAATTTGTAGTGGTTAAATATAATTTAAGTAGTATTGGAGTTGATCTTCTCGTGTGAAAAAGTGGTTATGTTATTTAATTACAATCACTTATTTAAAAATTATATATTTTTTTTTCTCTTATTTCATCATCAATGAGTGGTTGTGATCAAATAACATGATCATTTTTTCTCTCTTATGTCAGCATGCAGTATATACTTGATTTTGTTTAAATGAAATTTTAAATTTAAGTTTATGTAAATGTAAAAAATTCCTCACCATGATGTACATTGCTTCCACACAAAAAAAAAGTGGTTAAACGGCTTGTCCGCATGATACTAATATTACAGATTTAATTTTTTTAAGAATATCAAGGGGTGAAAGTGGGCTGGGCTGGGCCGAGCTTTGCCCCGTAAAGTCCAAGCCTATGCCAAAAAATTTCAATTTGGCCCGGCCCGATAGCATAATATGAGTCTAACTGTTAGTCTGTCTTCGCCCATTTATAAAAAACAAATAGCCCGGCCCGACCCGTTAGCCTGTTAATTTTTAACTTCCAAACAGATCATGAATCAACTCCACAAAATACTCAAATTCTATTGTTAAAACAAAAATCACAATTTTAACGTCCAAATAGAACCATGATGATTCGATGATTCGAAATACATCTCTTTCCTTCTCAGCCTTTCAATTAAACATTACCAATCACAGAATCTGATATTTAACTTTTTCTAATCAAGATCAATATGAACGAGGAACTCTATTTATCTGATAAATAAACACACAGAGATGAGAGATAACTTGAAGGTGGTGGACAGCGGTGGTGGCATGAACAGTGGAGGACGGCGGTGGTGGCATGAACAGTGGAGGACGGCGGTGGTGGCATGAACGGCGGTGGTGTGTCTTACTCGGGACTCGGGAGCTTGCAGGTGAATTAAGGCTTAGCAATATCGATGTCGTCTTACAAGATATAAGTAACGAGTAAAAGGAATTTTTGGTATGTTATTAACTCTAATAACTGAGATTCCAAAGCAGAACTATCCAGAACAATTGGGCCAGCCTTGGAGGCTCATGGGCCAGGCTTAATATATTAAGCCTCCGGCCCAATTATGTAATCAAACCTTTACACCAGCTCAAGCCCAACCTGCTAAGTAAAAAGGCCGAGCCAGGCTAGGCCACTAATGGGCTGGGCTGTAGGCCCCTGTGGGCCGGCCCGTCCCAGTTTCACCCCTATGTGCGTGTTCGTCCAGTAAATTATTGTTGTCTTAGGTGAGTGAGATTTGACCTTAAGTAGGTCGAAATTAGCTGTATATTATCATAATTGTGTGGAAATATCATACTGTATGCTATAGTGTACTAAACTAAGCAACATAGAGTAATATATGAAGGTGATCTTGAACCCACTTGCTCTCAACTCTCAACCTCCGCACCAACCTTTCTTCTTTAAACATACAACAAATAGTTGTAAAGAGCATACCTTGACCAAAAAAAAAAGGTGGCCTAGCACTGAAAAAGACAATCCCAGTAATTGCGTTAGTTGGGAGTAGATTTTTGCTGCAACGAGAGTAAATAATTCATCATAATTCAACACAAGTCGATATATAGAAGAAAAAAAGGCCCGCACTGCAAAAGTTAATGTGTTCAATTTTATTTTATTTCTGGTAAACATCTGTTCAAATTTTTTACATTGGATCACAAATTGCGTTATTTGGTATTATATGACGAAGGCGATATGGCATATTATATAAGTTGATCCAAGTATAGGAATTTGCTAACGTGGGTTGGATCAAAAGGGACAAATACGGTTTGAATCATCAATTTGCTTTTGCTTGGCATAGATAAGAAAATTTGATCAGCGACATAATCAAACCCAAAGTCTATGAAATAAAAAGTAAACTAGAACATTTATAAAAATTAATAAAAATGAAAACGGAAAAGTGTTAAGAGCAAAAGGCAAATATAAAATAAAATATCGAGTAAATAAACAAATCAAAGAAATCAAATGTTTACAAATTGAAGGGAAATATAATTACAGCAAACAAAAAAAATCAATATATTTAATTTCTTTTTTCTTATATGTTCTAAGTTATTTTCCCATATTTATTTATCTTCATCTCCAATTTACTTTTTTCCTTCTTTGTTTATTTGTTTTTGTCCCTTATTTATTTTTTATTTAATTTTATTATTATTTGTTTTCCAATCTTTTTCTTGTTTTTTATTTGGTGCATCGAGGCTCAAATCCTACTAATTTGAGTTAATGGTGAACGGCCACATTAGGGAATATTTTTCTTCTTTCCCAATAATAATTTTTCACGATTACATAATTCCTCAGTGTCTTTGGGCACTCCCTCACTCACATATGCAAAAAAATTATTTTGTCATCTCACATTTTTTTTTTTTTTTTTTATTACAACTCATATCTTTTTTTCTAAAGTTACTTTAGATAATTTTATCTAATGCTCACCGAAACAATGTTGTTTTGGATAGCAATTAGGGTGGGTTTATAATTTTAATTTATTTTAGGGGTATAATAATCTTTAACATTTTAATTAATTAATTTTTTAACACTAACACGACGTCGTTTCGATAAATATTAAATAAAATTGTCTAAAATAACATTAGATACTTTTTCTTTTGTATTTATTTGAAAATAAATCATCTCATATTAAAATTTCACATGAGCTGATTATGTGAAATTTTTATGTCTATCTCTTTCTTCATTAATAATAATTGGATTCCACCTATTTAATATATATAAAAAATAAAATAAACACAAAATCTTTAACACGAGAGAATCTTAAGTAGTTCACACCACCTTTCTTAGTTGTATACAAGGCGAAAACCACCATCTTGCATTCTACACCAATTAAGCGCATCATACCAAGTTACCAACTACTCTAACTGGGTTGATGGAATAACATATCAGTCCTCTTATCAACGAGCGAAGTTTGTGTGCTCTTGGAGCACAAAACAAACATTTGGTGGGACTGTGACGAGAGAAGAGAGAAGAGAGAAAAAGTTGAGGAGAGAGGTGAGAGAAGAAAAAAAGAAAAAATTTAATCTAGGTGTTAATTTTTTGAGTAAATATCTTTTTGGGTCCCTGATAAAATATACGGTTCCCACTTTAGTCCCTTATAAAAAAATTAGTCAGTTGGTCCATAAATTTAAAGTGGACCTATTTTAGTCCTTTTGAGGGGACTAATATGGGTCTTTTTTGAAATTGTGAGGACCACGATTTTAACTAAATGGGTCCACTTTGAATTTGTTAGGGACCAACTGACTAATTTTTTTTGTAAAGGACTAAAGTGAGAACCGTATATTTTGTTAGGGGCCAAAAATAATATTTACTTTTAATAAAAGAATCACGATGGTCCTGAACCACATTAAAAAAATTCCCTTGGTCAACACTATTGAATAGTGAAGAAATTAAATTTATTTCCTAGCTAGTTTGAATTTTGTAATGAAACGATCAAAGATGCAGTAAAATGTCTAACACGGCTAGTTCAACTTAATCACATCAAGGCCCATTAGTTAAAGGAAATGAACTCAGAACTCAGAAGTAAATAAGGTACTCAATTAACAATCAGTGTCGTAAAAATTCAGCTTCATAATCATTAAGATACGCATAAGATTTGTTTTCTTTTCTCACCTGAAAACAATGTTCTACCATGTGATGGATATGCACGTCTATCTTTCAAATAAAAAAACGCATTTAAAGTTTTGAACTGATTGGGGTCCGTTCAGAACAAAGGTCTAGGTAGGAGACGGTAACATATTCATAAGTCACTGTCCATTGGTGTAAAATAGTGTGAAATTTTTAGCGTGCAAAGAAGAGTTGATAGTCATATGGTGTTTGTTTTTGATGGATTTGGAGGGTTGACTATGGGAGAGAAAGGAAGAGAGCATACGAGAGATCCAACCAAGTCATTGTTAATGCACACAAGCCAAACATCAAACAAATACATTACTTCCAGTAATCTGAAAGATTAGTGGTACTCACAAGTTACACCAAACTCGGGATTCTTAAATATTAGGAATACAACACGAGAAAACATCTAACACACTACATGAGAAAACATACAAAACTACTCCTAGTTTTACAGCTTTATTTTGAGTGGAAATATAGATAGATCACTATACTTTCAGAGTAATGAGACTACCGATGCATGATGTGACCTTGTATTCCTCAGGAAGAGTTTCCCACCATTTTACAAATGTAGGATCCTTTAAGAACACATTCTTTGTTAGTTCCCCTTTATCAATCCACTTTTTAATGCCTTGTTCAAGTTGCACAACCCTTTCCTTGATACCTTCAAATGGTTTCTTGTTACTATTCCAGCGACAAAGCTCTTCCATCTCAGCCCAGAAGCTGGATTCAGAGATAACTCCTTTTGTCACCCTATTAGCATGTTCTAGCCATCTTTGAGTGTATCTATATCGTTTTGGCCTTCCCTTATCCATGTAAGGTCCTGTATCTTCATCCTTTGAATGGCGGTAATAGTTGGCAATATCTAGAGGCTCCACAAGACGACGAAAGCTGGTTCCAAGCTTAATCCATTCTTGTTTCCCTTCAAACTCATCTGGGAGTTCATACCTCTTTAGCATTTCAATGATCTCATCCCAAACTCCTGCCAGCACAAGCCTCTTCACATTTGCTTGGAAGTCCTTTCCCTCCTTTTGCACCTTGAAGGCATAATAATAACCCTTCCCCGTGTGTATCTCACATGTTGCTTTGTATGCTTCAAGTTCTCCCATGCTTCCCTGAGCTTTCTCCTTAATCTCCTTACTGATTTTTTCCTCATTTCTGTTTTTTTGTTTTTGCAACTCACCAGCTGCTCGAAGACACAGTCTTGCTCTAGTGCTCTGAAATTCCAGCCAAGAAATCATCACGTATTGAATAAATGTTGTGTTCTAATTTTATGCATGAGAATATAAAAACTAAATAGAAAGAGAAAACGCAAATTAATTACCAATCCAAGGCCATCTAAGGCCGTGCTAGTTGTGGCAATATCACTATTTGAACCATCAGCAGACAAGGGAAGATCTTCAAGTTGGTCTAAGTACACCACATTCTGCATTTCCAAGCTATCCTGCAATTCATCTTCATATGCTAGATGTTCCAATATGCTTTTGCTAGCAACTTCAGAAAGTTCTGCCAAATCGCTTAGCTGAGCAGTGTGGAACAAGAGTTGCAAAACAGCATCCGAGTTACTTATCACAATCAGTTGTCCATTTCCATTGCAGAAGATGTATTTTCCAAAGGGCCTATAAGGGCTTAAGTCAACAAAATTTGTCACTGTCTCCAGTAACAGATTTGTGCTGCCCATAAGAGTACAGGCAGCATGGCTTGTAACAGTTGCTGCATTCCTCATCACAGTCGAGTAAAATTCACAAGTCACATTACCTCTTCTTATTGAATCTTGGGATGAAGCTTTGTACTTGGGGGTGAAAGATTGGAGAATGGAGCTAAAATTTTGCTCAATGGAAGAGCAGGGAGTGAGAAAAATCCGTGGCACTATGTCATATCTCTTCACAAAGTGTATGAAGTAGCTAGACCAATTTTCTCGCCTTGAAGCATGAGAGAAAATATGATTACCAACTAAGGGAGACCCAAAAGTGACACAGAAAGGAGGCTTGTGGTTTTGGTTTTTGGTTGGGTTAAGGTACTCTTCCAAGGCCCAAAACGTTGCAAGAATTGCCACTGCAGCTCCAGAGGAGTGCCCTGTAAATATTATTTGCTTCCCTTCTGTCATAGCTTTATTCACCTTCAGATTTTAACGGTTTCATTACTTTAGTCAAAATAATTAACCAAAAATAGAAACTACCATCATGGTAACTGAAACTACCAGAAAAAAACTGCAAAACTAAAATGAATCAAAGATTGTCGGTAACATACCTCAGATTTAATAGAAGACTTTCCCAATATGAGATTGAATCTCTTTAAAAAAGCTTCATTCACCAAAGCAGGTTCATCGTTACCAATACTTCTAAGTGAAGGGAACAGTTCAAGATCTATCTTTGTTTCCCCAAAGGGTTTACTAACAAACCAATCAGCAGCATCCCAAGATCCCGAAAAGCTAATAATAAGGTTAGCTTCAGAAGAAGTCCGAATCTTTTCAAGAAGATAATACTTATCTTGTGGTAACTTGTGAGCTTTGAAGGCAAAGGAACATGCCTTCTTGATAAGCTCTTCTTTCAATCCAATCTTATCTCCAATGGACCCTCCAGCCATTTTTCTTAAAAGCTTTCTCTATTCTCCAATGGAACCTGTAGTTTCAGAAAGATTAGTGGTTGCTTGATTGGAGTTGCTGCGTCTTCTTATACAAAGGGGATGGAAACTCAAGTTAAATTGCTATATTGACGAAGACTATGTAGTTTCACGAAGTTGTGTGTGTGTTTCCTTAATGGAAATGGGGATGGAAACTCAGTTAACTTGCTCTATTCGACGAAGACCGATATAAAGTCGACGCTAAAGTTAGAAGTGGGGTCCACAAATATAAAACTATGTCCAATCAAACTAAGGCTTACGAAGCTGCCGGGCAGGTTGCTACCTCTTTTCTCAGCGGGCAGCGAACCCTAATATTCGCGACTTTTTTTATTTTTCATTTGGTTTTTAAATTATTAAAATCGTACGTAGTTTAAGAAGCAACTTAAAAGTGAAAAATTACTCTTATATTATATGTGATATATTTCTTTTCTACACACCCTTCGATAACTGTGTCATATTTTTTTATTTTTTTTTATTTTTAAGTGGTGGAACCAACAAATTTATCTCTATGACATGAGATAACTTATCTTCTTTAACATGACATTAATAAAACCCAACTTAAAATAGTATAAGTTGTACTTTACCATAATTATGATATTATTTTTAAGAATTTGGTGTTTGTACTTTTAAATGATATAAAATTATGTCATTTTAAGCGAAAGAAATAGATAAAAATTAAAAAGTATGAAGGAAAAAGTTGGGTGTCTTTTTTAATTAAAATTGTAAATAAAAATACAATTTCTTTTGTAAGCTAAAAATATTAGTTTTAATAACAATGACCTCCAAAGCACGAACACAAAGTTTTTTTAAAGATTTGCGTGTCGGACACGTGTCCGACACGCTCGGACCCGCGTCCGACATGCGGTCAATATTTGAGAACACGCGGTCAACTCTCCGACACGTTCAGACACGTTTTTTTGACACGCAATCAACTTTTTCAGACACGCGGTCAACGCTTGGACACATTTTTTTTTTAAAAAAAAATCTTAATTTTATTTTGTTAACTAAATATAAAAGAAATAATTTATAAATTAACTTTTTTCTGTTATAAAATTTGACAAGAAAAATTAACAAAGTACGAAAAATTATTTATATTTATATTTATGTTATGAAATTTAAATATTTGATTGGTTATATGACTTATTATGGACTCTTATATGTATAAAATATAAAATATATTATATATATTAAAATTTTTATTTAATATCAAAACGTGTCCCAACGTGTCGAAATATGACATTTTATAGAATTAACGTGTCAGCGTGTCGTGACGTGTCGTGTCCCGTGTCTGTGTCCGTGCATCATAGACAATGACCATCGTTTAAAAGGATAAATATGTTTTCCTATTTTTCTAACATTAGTTTACTTAAGTCGTATTTAATGTATATAATTAATTACAAAAATAAATTTTAAATATTATATATTATGGACTCATATACGAGGCTCATTAAGTGACGAGCCCAATAACGGACAATCCAAGATGCTAATCAAGTATAACTATGGAAAGATATCCATTAAAGATATCAGTCCTAATACAACAACATGACATATGGGCTCGGGGCGTCATCAGAGACACTAAAGGTTCAGAATCCACTACCCCCAGGTAAACTCTATAAATAGAAGGTAAAACCTACAGGTAGTCAGGTACGGTACTTTCTCTCTCTTACTGTTATGTTGTCACTGCGCGCGCACACACACCCCTTTTGACAAAGCCGTTATTGTTCTTCTGTGCACAGTGATCTGCTTGACTCAAGGGTATCTCATCCATAGATACCTTAGAGAGGGAACTAGATCCAAGAGTAATATACTAGTCCATTGGACTAAACATCTTTGTCTCTAAGACATAACACTGGGGACGTCTGTGGGGAATCGGCAAATTTGATATTCCCACGATTTTGACTGAAGATGGAAATTCGTACAAGGAGTAACAACCAACAGCCACAACCTCCCAATCATCCATTGGATCCTGTTTTGGAAGAAGTGAATCAACCTCAGAACCAACCAGAAAACGAAGTGGACTATGATGCGGTCCATGTCAGCGACGACATCTCGGACACTGCCTCTATGCCATCCCCCTACAACCAGGTTGCGAACCCAGCTCCACCTCATCCTCAGAATCCTGCGGATGCAGCTACCCGCATTGCGCATGCTACAGATCCTGACTCCCGTCTTGCTCAAAATGCATTCACCGCGATTATACGGCGGATGAAGGATATGGAGAATCGAAACAATCTCCAACGACGAGAAGATTTCAGGAGAATTCAGGAGGAAAACACAAGGAGGATGCAAGATTTGGAGCGACGCTTACTGGAGCTGAGGGGATTGGGATCTGAAGGGGTTCAGATCCGAGATGGTAATGATCAGGACGAGGATCATAACCCGGGTACTCAAATCTGGGTTAGAGAAACTGAGATCCAGGGAAGATTAAATGTTGGAGTAGCTGTGGATCCAAATCTGGGGAGCCTTGAAAATAATAATCATAATGCGAATATGCGACCTCTTTCCCAAAATTCTACGACAAGGGGAAATATGCAGAGAAACCGGGAAGAAACACTTCTTAACCGAGATGCTCAACCTGTCAGAGGGCGTGTTGAACCCGGTGTTTATAGGAGGAAGTACAGTAGGGGGCAGTACAATAACAGCCCATTTACCGGCGAGATACTAAATGCTCCATTCCCGGAGGAATTTGATTCGGCACACTTGCCGAAATATGATGGAAGTCAGGATCCTCAGGTTCATATAGATGCATTCGACACAGACATGTATATCCGTGGAATTGATGAGCCCATCATATCCCGAATATTTGCTACAACCTTAACTGGAGCTGGTGATAACTCTCCCAAATAAGAGTTAATTTTTTATTTTTATGATGAATTTGTTGCATAAATTCCATATAAGTTGACCTCTTTGCATGATAAATGAGTTAAATGTTGCATATTTATGATTGAATGCTTTGAGATGACTAAGTATTGAAAATAAGACAATATCCCTTGATTTTGGGTAAGAAAAGATGACTTGTTGAGTGTTTGTCTAGTGCAGGAAAAATTGACGTAGGAATGTTGTAGCAGAGAAGATGACGAAATAATGATATAGCAAGCGCTACAACATGACAACGTGGACAAAGGAACAATCGAACTTTTGAAATTCAAAAGTTAATTAATTCCCAACAAATGGATAAGACACCAGCAAGAAAATACAAGGATCAAGGACGAATTCAAAGATTGAGTCCTATCCCAAAATCCCAAAGAACAAGGACAACAAACCTTTACTCGGTCAACAACAACATTGGCACAAGAAATCCAAGAAAATCAAGATCTTATCCAAGCAAGTGCCAACAGCCCAAGAATCTAGGGATACGGTAAGGCTGCAACAATAAGATTCATGGGTTTTCACTCCTAACCCTAAGCCCAATCATCCAACCACTTTTCCTATTTAAAGAGGAGTCCCCCACTGATTAAAAAAAGGAGTTTTAGGACGGTTTCAAGGAGAGTTCAGAGAGGTTCAAGGTTTGAGAAGTCAGAAGCGAGTGAGGACATTTTAGAGAGAGAAAGTAAGGTTCTTGGAGGAGGAAAAGCTGCTGGAGCAGTGCTGGAGCAAGGCAGTGACAACGTTTTCCTACAACATTCGTTTTCATCTTTATTTTTGTTTTCCAATGTGTTCTTTCTTTCTTTTCTCTGTTTTATTTAATTCTATTATGAGCTAATTTGCTCTATAGGTTAGGTGATAAAGTACCTATGTTGTAACATTGAGATGTATGCCTAAACTTTGTTTATGTTAATGTTTAATTAGTTATTCAACGAGTTTGCTTAATCTTATTCATGTGTGCATGTCGAGAGATACATATGTGATATTGAGGAGGTTGGGGACGAGAGGTTTCCGAATCCAGACCCTTGTTGAATTGTGTGGATTAATCAGATTAAAATTAACTTAATTAAGTTGTGGGTAGAGAGATCATTCACACCACAAAGCCTAGAACTTGAACTTGAACAATTCAGTAATTAGTTCGACCATAGAGAAGTGGGAATTAGTTATTGGATATATATGTTAGGTTGGTCAAAAGCCCCAGCATACCTTAGTGTTCGGTTACTAGTTAAACATTGATATAGCATTGTTAAAGCATAGTTTCAGTATTGCTGTATCAGGGAAATTGAACCTGACCTATATCTCATCCATCATCTTAATACCTATTAATTTAGTTTACTGTTTTCTTAATTTTAATTGTCTTTTATTTTATAAATCCAATCATCAAAATCAATCTCTTACCTACTTTCTTCACTTAAATAATCATTACTTGACACTTATCTCCGTGGGAACGATACTTGGACTCATACATCCCTTTATTACTTGTGACACGTGCACTTGTGTATTTGTGTGGAAGATTTAATTGATTACAAATTGCACAACAAATTTTTGGCGCCGTTGCCGGGGATAATTATAAAGTTGTTTTTATTTTAGTGAAGAATTTTAATTCTTTTATATCCTTTACCTTTCTCCTTACTGTTTTCAAGTTGTTAATTGCAGCGTATGAGCAGTTCTTCTTCAAAGCAAGAAACAGATTTTGATCCGGAGATTGAAAGAACATTTCGAGCAAGAAGGAGACGACAAAGACGCAGCAATTCTGCAGCAATACCTAACATGGCAGAAAGGCTGAGAAACGGTGAAGAGGATGAACCTGGACATAACAATGAAGGTCCAAATCAGGTTGAGATTCCAATCAGAGCGCATGCAATTCCTACGCTCAACAATCTGCATTCTGGAATCGTTCAACCTGATATAGCAGCAAAAAAATTTGAGCTGAAGCCAGTGATGTTTAACATGCTGCAGACCATTGGTCAATTCAATGGACTGCCTAGTGAAGACCCTCACCTTCACCTCAAGAATTTTATGGATGTAGCAGACACTTTCAAAATCAGAGGAGTTACATCCGATGCTCTAAAGCTGAAGTTGTTCCCATATTCCCTCACCAACAAAGCTAAAGCATGGTTGAATTGTTTACAACCACAGTCAATCCGAAGTTGGGAGGAGTTGGCAGACAAGTTTTTACTGAAGTCCCTCCCATGAAGGCAGCCCAATACAGGAATGATATATCAACCTTCAAGCAATTGCAAGAAGAGTCATTTTATGAGGCTTGGGAGAAGTTC